TCCAGATTTAATCATTTGTCATTTTGTTCTCGGTGAACATATATCTGATACATATATCAATATCGCATATATCACTTTGCTGTTGGCACTGTTTAAGATTATTTTATGAGTGTTACAGCAGGAGATTTAAAGGTTATTGATGGCATCTTTTATGAAATTGCATTCATGCGATGGCGCCGCAGACGGCAGCCTCAGTGTTTGGCTCTCCATGGACATTGTAGTCAGGGGGGGCTGCGGCGCTGATCAAGCGCTTCAGGACGCGCAGACGGGGGAAGCGAGCCGGTGTGCTCGTGAAGCTCAGGAAGCGCGGATTCAGAATGCCGTTGCCGAGCTTCCATATGGTGAATCTCTGCTCTCTATTTTAATTTATTCTATTCCTATTCCATCTATAGCACACCTGTACATACAATTTATTCTTTTTTTGTGGTTTATATTTATGCATGTGTATTTTATTCACATCTCATTTTTATTTGTGTGTTGTTGTTGTCTCCGTGTACTGGAAGCTTGTGACACTATAACAAATTCCTTGTGTGCAAACATACTTGGCAATAAAGCTCTTTCTGATTCTGATTCTGATTCTGAAATACACGTGTGATAACAGTAATTCCAGACACTCAGTGTTGAGTGTGGTGATGTTGTGGAGATCATCACGGGTTTGAGGGTCTCAGTTACTCACCTGTTAAAACTTTCAGATTCACTTCAGTGTAGGAATCTACTTTTGCATAAATATCAGTTCCACAGTAGTACGTCCCAGAATCCTGTCCACTCAGATCTCTGATGCTCACATTGAAAACTGCTGCTCTTGTGTTGTCATACAGAGAGAATCTTTCAGAATGAACCCATTTGTTTTTCTCTTCAGTCTTGATTTTGTCTGTGCACTCTGACCACTGTCCTCTATAAAAATACTTGGCATTTTCTGTATATCCTCTATCATATCTGCATGTGATGCTGACTCCTCCTCCTGAATATCCTGTCACACTGATGGAGCTCACCACACCTACAACAAACCAGCATTAAAACACTTTAATATATTTATGAGGCTACACATAAATGAGCTTTCTTCAACTTTTCAACATCAACATGAGCTGAAGTGAAAGAGTTCAGTTTCTTACCAGGAATCATCAGCAGAGTGAAAGTCCAGATGATCTTCATTCTTCTCTCTTATTCAGTGATCTTCTCTGTTGTTAGTAGATTCAGTTCGTCTGAAACTCTCGATGTGTGAACAGATGAGTTTTAGTGTTTCTTTCCTGGTTACATGTTTAACATGAACTGATGAATGTGACAGAGCCGCCCACGTCCTCTGATAGAGAGATGGTTAAAAAAAGAGGGAAGTAAACCTTGTTTTTTACAAATGCTTTATATTGAGATGCAGGACTCACATACATAAAACTCATTATAAAGTGTTATTTCAAAGAGATTTCGACAAAATGATTCTATTCCAAAGAATTAGTTTTACGTTTTTATCAGAGCTTTTATTTATATATGTTACGTCCCTATGTGACGCTGACTTGTCATTTGAGTATTTATTTTTAGATTTTGTGTTCTTTTGCTTGAGTTTTTTCCCCTGTCGCGTTCTCTCTCTCCCATTTACTTTCACTTTTGCAGGTGACGCGCGGATTGGTCGGCTCATTTGTCAATCATTCGGGATGAGCTGATTGGGTGTGATGACGGGAGGGGGTTGTTCTTCCATCGCGCTCGCTGATTGACGTCCTGCTGTGCTATATAAGCTTGGCTGGCCCGAAACTCCTGATCTGTGACATTTGAAAGCCTTACAAAGCTTTTTTCAAAGATGTGTTAAAACTGGATGGAGGTAAAGGGGTAGGTAAGTTATGTCACGTGACTTACATGATGCACATGTAGTTTGATTTCGTTGATTTTGATTTTTTGATTATAAAAGCTGCTGGTGTGTCTAGGATTCTGTTGTAAATAATTGTTTCTTTTATTTTTATATACACACCCGTTCTGTGTTTTTTTTTTTTTTGTCTTTGGTAAATAACTGTCACGGTCTTTAAATAAAACAAGTTTGCTTGATTTAGTCTCCAGTCGTAGTTACTTTCACTTACACTGAGTGTGAAGCTGGCAATGGTCTGAACTGGTCCAATGTTCCCCTTCTCAGTCCCTAGACCAGTGTTTCCCAACATTTCTTTAGTCGCGGCACCCTTTGGAAATTTTAACAAATTTGTGGCACTCTACAAAATAAATTTTGTCACAGTATTTGAATTTCTACCTTCGATATGATACTTTGAAAAGTATAGATATTCGGTACAGCAGGGAAGAACCGCAGAATATAATGTCATACAGATATTTTTCATATTATAAAAAAAATCGTCCATCAATGGTGGCAATCAGTAGGCTAATTTCTAATGAAGAGACCAATTTATATGACAGATTTTAATGTAGGCTT